CAACAGTATCTTTTAGCAAAGTGAAACTTACCAATAAACTAAATGGAAATGGGCAGGTATGGCACCATGTTTTTTTTTTTTTTTTGGTAGGCCTCTTGGCTTGAGTCATTGGCTTCTACCAATCAAGAATGATCAAGGGTGCATTTATGCAATTAGAAGGGCCCTTAGAGGCCTCTTCACCCACAGATGCCAATTATTCCATGGAGTCCAAATGTAAACAGGAATAAACAGGCTTTAATTGGAGCTTTCAGATTTTAATGGACTCCTTGATGTCAAGAGAGACAGAGTGTGCTGTGGTTTAACCATCAGGGATTTTTACCTCCATAGTGTGCCTTGTATGCTGAGTTTTTACATAGGGCTTCAGAGAAGGGAAAATGATTGGGGGGTATTGAGCCTTTGTTTTCTCTCCTTTGCCATTTGGTGTGTAAGTGGGATGTTGGCAATAGTCAGGTACTCAAATAAAAGGCTTCGTCTAAATGAAATAATTACTGTGCTTGCTTTTGCCTCATGATAATTATCAATATTCTATTGAATCATCTTTGGCCTTTGGAATAATAATACAAAGTATGTACCTGTATGAGAAAATAAGTGCCATTCTCTCTGAAGGCCCTTAAAAATGAAAGAGGAAAGTTGGCTTTGTTGGCTTGTTTGTTTAATATGCATCTAGGACTACAGTGATGAACATTTTCTTTGATTTATTTTGGAATGCAGGATTAAATCTGAAAGCAAATCCATTAGCAAGCAAAGAACGAATTTCCAGCTTTGCATATTATTTACATCCATCCTGACCTGTTTATGGCCATTTCTATACTTATCTGGGGCCCTCCAGAATTTACATGAAGAAATAAAACTGGGAAAGCATGGGCAGCAGGAACTTTGATTTTTATATGTAGCAATTGTTTAATACAGATTTTCAAAGAAAGATGCTTCACAACAACAACAACAACAACAACAACAACAACAACAACAACAAAGCATTTAGATAGTGCCTAGATTTCTGTTTCATTCCCAAACTGGAACACTGTAATTTTACTACAAAAACAATATGTATCTTCCCTACATTTCAAAGTCCAGAACATTCTAATTATTGCTTAACTATTAGTTCACATTAAAGAAGCATCCTCAACCAATCACCTGAGTTGTTAACATTTAAGATACCTAGGAAAGGGTTTAGGGTGTCATTGTGACCATAACTGAATCGTTTTTCCCCCAGTTCATATGCATACAGTTTCTCCTGTAGGAAGCCTAAAAACTGTAAAAGATTATCTTCAAGTTATCTTTTTGTTCTGACCCAGATCTTTAAAAAAAATGAAAGGTTAGATTTCATTGCTTCAATTATGAGTAAGTGCAATGCAATTAATACAATGCAAGATTTCATTGTTTTAACACTAAATCAAACTGGAGGGTCATTTCCTCTACCATTCAAAAGGTATCAGCTATTTCTTCTGTCTTCCTTAACAAATTTTCTCTAGGAAAATAAAAGGTGGAAGAAGTGGCCTGAAAAGGCAGGAGGATTTGAAGGATGTTGATCTCTGGAGGCTTCATAAAATCCTGAGAATAAGACAGGGTAATCATGTATTAAACACCTAACCTGGAATCCTTCTTATGAGTTATGGACCATTTCTAGTCAACCTGGTTTCCATCTCTCAATCCTTCTAATTCTAAAATAAAATGTATTCAAAATAGACTCAGTTGGCTGTTACTGTTTGCAGACCTGTTCTCTGTTTTATCTACTTTGCAGCTGTTTGTGCACCTACAGTCTTCCAATTAAAGTGACTAGAGATTAAATTGATCATAGTTCATTAGCAATAAACCAACTATTGCTGTTATTAGTAATTTATTTTCACTCTCTCCCTTTTTGAGAGTGGTGTGGTAGAGAAAGATGACTGGTCATATCCATATAGCAATAGGCCTTAAAATGAAAGGTGCCTGACCTTGGAAATAATGGGAGTATATCAAAATGTTTGTTTAATTGCAATACTTGGCAATTATTTCAATACCAGGGGTCTCATCTTGCATCGAAACAAAAGTTACTACAACTTTGCGTAAAAACCTCCATCTATCACATGTTTTTGTAGAATGCAAAACAATATCTCTTCAATTATTTTCTCTCCCTTTTTCTCATTCTAGATTATGTTGAATTCCCTACATAAATATGAGCCTCAAGTTCATATTGTTCGAGTAGGAGGCCCACATAGGATGGTAATGAATTGTTCTTTCCCTGAAACTCAGTTCATTGCTGTGACTGCCTACCAGAACGAAGAGGTAAGTGGCTATAGTACAAAAGGAATGTATTTATTAGTTGTGTGAATTTCTTTAAACTGTCCAGATGAGCACAGGTAAAGTTTGTGATCCGGTGTCCTTTTTAAAGTATTGTTTGATCTTATCAAAAAGGATGTGTTTCTTGTATGCTTGCTATTCAATAACCATGGAAGAGGCATTCATACAACACCAGAAGTTATCCTGCTGGATTTGAAAGTTAGTTTCTTTCAGCTGCAAAATCGAAGGTTCTGCTTAAGAGAGAAATTGGCTAGGCTGCCACAAGACAACTGAATGCCCATAGCAAGCAAAGCTTATGCAATAACTCCAACCAAATTGTGTTCCTCAGTATATTGCTTCTGATAGTGAGGGATAATACAAAATTATGATGTGATTGATTGCTTTCTCTCTTTGAGAAAATTGCTTAATATTCTTTTAAAGTTATCCAAATTAATGTCATATACTAAATAAAATAAAGGTAAAGGTTCCCTTGCACATATGTGCTAGTTTTTCCCGGATCTAGGGGGCGGTGTTCATCTCTTTCAAAGCCGAAGAGCCTGCTCTGTCTGAAGACATCTATGTGGTCATGTATCCCACATGACTAAACACCAAAGGCGCTGTTACCTTCTCACCAGTTGCAGGATTGCAGGCGGTACGCCCCACTACGGGTATACTGGTGCTTGCCCAGAGAACCGGATACCATTCTAGTACGGTGCTCTGGGGGGCCCAACAGCCCGCCCGAGCTCCTTACCTGTATTTGAGCTCTTCGGTGCTTCTGCAAATGTGCAAAGAGCACACAGCGCCTGCGCCATGCTCCACTGAGCAGCTGGAGTATCGCGGAGGCTCACGGAGGCATTGCAAGAGTAAGGATGCATTTATATGCTGCACATGTGTGCATGCGTGCTGCACATGTTCATGTAGTGGACACCGGGCCCTGTTGCAACTGTACAGTTGCAAAAGGATCCGGAACCCACCACTGCTTCTCACAAAAAGTGGTTCCTATTTTTCTACTTGCATTTTTACATGCTTTCGAAGTGCTAGGTTGGCAGAACTGAGACAAGTAACAGGAGCTCACTCCGTTATGCGTCACTAGGGATTTGAACTGCTGACCTTTCTGATTGACAAACTCAGCATCTAGCCACTGAGCCACTGCGTCCCTCTCATATACTAAATAGTATTCAACTATTCAACTATGAAATAGTTTTAAATCTTTCTTTTAACTTCCTTAAAAAGTACCAAAAGTTCCTCTTCACACCATGCGTTGTTTAATAAATATCAGAGCTCTACTAAATTATCTATAGTATGAAGAAAACTTTATGTCTTTTACATTTTGTGCCTTGCCCTTGTACAACTTCTTGGTATAATATATTTGAATGTGAATTGTCTGTGGCTAATTAAAACCCATTGAACCTTATGTGGGTAAATGATTGACCGTCACCTTTAAAAGACTTAACAGAACCTTTCTTTCTTGAACCTCAAGATTACAGCTCTCAAAATCAAATACAACCCTTTTGCCAAGGCATTTCTGGATGCAAAAGAAAGGTAAGTTCAGTTCTTCATCAAATGTATGAAACTTGTTAGTGATAGAGGAATAGCAGCTAGTTTACTCTTTTTCATTCTTAGTTTGTTCTCTGCATTAGAAATATAAACACTAATCTAATGTGTGCATTATGACTACATTATGCAACTTAGAACTGAGGAGAAATTTCCTCACAGTTAGAACAATTAATCAGTGGAACAGCTTGCCTCCAGAAGTTGTGAATGCCCCAACACTGGAAGTCTTTAAGAAGATGTTGGATAGTCATTTGTGTGGAATGGTATAGGGTTTCCTGCCTAGGCAGGGGGTTGGACTAGAAGACCTCCAAGGTCCTTCCAACTCTGCTATTGTATTGTATTGTATTAAAAGAGATCATAATAATTCTTTGGCAGATTTTAATGACAAAAAATGTAAGAGAGCTTTGTGAAGTTGATTAGACTTGTAAATAATAATTAACCTACAGAACTTCATGATGGAATAAAGAAAAGTCATTGGAAGAATAATTTTACCGGAATCAATGAAACCTTAATCTCATTATCCCTCAGAAACCAGTCCAAGGACGCTCCAGATATTGTCTCTGAAAGTCAACACATGACATATTCTCACTGTAAGTTATATAATAGCTTGTGGCTTATTTTAAATTGATAACATGAGCTTACTGGTGATTATTGCTTTAGTAACATCTGTCAGTGCACAGTATTGGATGGTTCACAGATGGAAAAGTATTTTGAATAATAGGCAATAGTATGAAACAATATTTTTTTTCTAGTTTCCTGCGGCTGTGATTAGAGTTTTACTCAAATGTCCTCATTTCCACTTCTCTCCATGGACATATTATTATGAGCATCTTATTTCACAGGAAGGCAAACTTTAGAACTAGTACATACATTGTTTTGAATAATCTTATAATATCACTCCCATGTTGAACCTGCCTATGTACAAATTGCTACTATGATGGTCATGGCCAATAATAAAACACCTACTTAGAGAAAGCCAACTGTGGTAATATTGCCTCATTGTCGCTCCTTGCATGCATTCCTTTTTTATTTTCTCACTTCACATTTATCTTTTTTTCTGGCCAAGATAGGCTTCCTTCCAGTGATGACACAAACAACACAAATCTCTATGGGAAAACCTTGTTCCTCTTTAAAATTTAAATGTCTATTGATGTCTTTTTACATGTGCAGTGTAGATGCTTAATTTTACAAAAGAAAGCTGTAATTCAACACTGACTTTTTCTCAAAGATAAAATTATTACAAAATGTACATTAGTCCAATAACAATAATAAGAAATATTGTATAGCAATAACAAAAATTTCTTAAAAGCAAAAATACTTAATTTCTCTTTTAGAAAAGTTCATTTATTCTTACTCATTGTTAAAAGATAAGTTCACTTTGAATCAAACTCAACTACTGATAATTTTGTGAGTGGGCCATGCAGTTTTCTTGGCAACATAATGGGAATAGTGTATCATTGTATTCTTCCATAGTATAGTTCTAGTATTCCTTGGTAATTCCCCATTCAAATATTAACCAAGCAACCCTCCTGATTAACCTTTGGGCCTACTTGGCAACGTTTTGGCGAGGTCTCACTCGCCATCTTCAGGCTGGGTTTGGGGTTTTAGCTAAAGTGTGTGTGTGTGTGTGTGTGTGTGTGTGTGTGTGTGTGTGTGCGTGTGTGGTTTTTATCTTACTTTTATTATTTTATAAGTAACAAGGTGGCCAACAAACACAATACCTCCATCTACTGAGGTAGGTTGTACTGAGAGAGTAACTGGCCCAAAGTCACCCAGCCAGCTTTCATGCCTAAACCAGGACTAGAACTCTCAATATCCTAGTTTGCAGGTCAGCATCTTAACCACTAGACCAAACTGGCTCTCTGTATCAACCTCCAAGGGATTGCTATTTTAATCTGGTGAGGGAACTCAGTCATTTAAATGATTATCATAATGATGCCCCAAGAAGCTTGCACTCCTAAAAGTGCTTAAGCCCCTTGCGAGTAAGATCATGCGAGAGCTAAAGGAAAGGCCAACTGATAACAGATATAGGGCTCTATAGGCATGAGAAAAGCCAAGCCATCTAGACAAAGGATTTCCAAATTCAAACCCAGAAGAATGCCAATGGCAAACAATTCCAACAATGTTGCCAAGAAAGCTATGGAAAAGCTGAAACATTAGGACAATCTAAATAATAGTACTAAATAATTTGACACACACACAAAGTTACAGGCACTTTAATTGCTGAGGAAGAGTATTCATTTTTATGAACAGATTCTGAAGTGATAAAATAGATAAACCTCAAGGAAGCTTGATCACTGATTGAAAAATAAATTCATTATTTTACAAGGATGCATACAATTAAGATTTTAATTAGTTTATTTGCCTGTCATAGGTAAAAGTGAACTTAAACATATAAATTATGGATCCCAATGATCTATTAGTCCTACAGGTGAATTTCTCGATGAGAAAATGCTTGCTTAGCAGGGACTAGAAGTACATAATTATACTGCTGATAGAAAATAGTTTCCCTTCCAGTCTTCTAATATCAATGTTTTAGCTATCAAAGAAGTCCATTTGTTTCTGCTAATTTCCAAGTTGTTGGTATATTATGCATGGAATGAAAAAAATCTACAAAATAATTGCATCTTTCAGAATAAAATTAATTTGTGAAAATTTGATCACCATATCTATGTCTAATTAACTGAACCATTAACAGTAATTTTACTGATAATAAAATATGTGACATTTATTTTAGAAATTTTAATTTAAGTAGTCAAACAACCATTCATAAATAATTAGTATATGGCTATTACTTTGTAAAAAAAACATGTTAAATGCTCAAGTACTTGAGTGGATGGGGACTATTGATACCTTCCTTGATAATTTTGATAAATCAAAGCTACTCATTTCACATTTAGGTTTATTAATAATGTACTCAGAGTAGATAATGTACTGCAGGCTATTTATTGATTTTATATATTTTAATATAGAAATGCCAATATCATATACAACTTTATGATCCTTACCTCTATATACCAAACAATGAACTTCACTGCTGTGCCTAATTGCCCAAGGAGAGCAACCATCCCAGTAAAACGGATTTAGATTAGATGGTTCTTATTTCCATTCTTTTTCTTTGAGTTGCAAAGAGTAGTTATCCTATGTTTTTTGAGTATTTTAGTCTGCATGACAGACTAAAAGATGTGTGCGTGTGTCCGTGTGCGCATTCCTGTTTCCCTATTTCACCTTTTTTTAAAAAAAAACTCAATTCTCAATATTTCTGCAGTGGGTGGTTGGTTGATTTCCAATCCTGATGCTGTCTGTGCAGCAGGAACTTCCAATTATCCATACACGGGGAGTTTTTCTCTGCCTGCTCCACATTCTCATCATGGCTGTGAACATTATTCAGCTCTACGAGGTCACAGAGCCGTTCCATATCCTGCTTCGTACATGCAAAAAAATAATTATCCAGGCAAGTTCTTGCATTTAATTTATTTATCAAAAGCAAATGCCAAATGACAATCACATGAAATGATTAGCAAGTGAATCACAGCAAAAAGATTTTGAAAGGGTAAATGAAGATGTATAACTATTCTAGATGTCAGTCAATAAATGCTCCTTTTTAAAAAAATGAATAAAATATATTGAATAACCACAGAAGGGGAAAAATTATTAATACACAGAATGTTCTTCTTTTCTGTATTATTTTCTTTCACAGCTGAGAAACAGATGATTTTGTTCTAAAAAAATAAGAAGGATTAGATTTGATTAGTACTGTGTTTCCCTGAAAATAAGACAGGGTCTTATTTTCTTTTGACCCCCCAAATGTTGCTTGGGCCTTATTATGGGGGGGGGCTTATTGGTTTGGGGTTGCTGGGTGACTGCTCTCTTGCAAGCAGGCGCCCGAAGAGCCGGGCACAGCCTCAGGGGCAAACGGCTGTGTTGCGCTGTTGCAGCAGCGCAACAAAGCCGTCATGAGGTGACTACGCTCATGAGCAGCTGCCCAGCAACCCCCCTTTCTAGCCGGGCAGAGTGCCACTCACCAACCCAGTAATATCCCAAAGGCGCTAAGCCACATGGTGCTCTGCCTGGCTGGGAAGAGAGGTTGCGTGAGTACTTTTCCTGCCTCCAGCATGCCTCCCAGCCTCACCATGCCCAGCTTTCCCTGCAGGGCCAGGCTAGGGCACCGCCACCATGGTCCTGCTGCTGCCGCTGGCGCAGCCCCACTGCCGCCACCATGCTCTGAGCATAACTGGCTTCTAAACTCCGGAGATCCGCTGCTGCTCTGGGACTATGCCCTATGGTTGTGGGCTGGCACTGCCGGAAGACTCGGCAGCGGATCTCCAGAGTTTGGAAGCCGGTTATGCTTGGACCATGGCAGTGGTGGTGGCAGCAGGGCTGTGATGGTGGCAGCGGGGCCACGGCAGCGCCCCGGCCTGGCCCTGCAGGGAGAGCTGGGCATGGTGAGGCTGGGAGGCACGCGAGCTGGAGGCAGAACAAGTGCTTGCGCAACCTCTCTTTCCAGCCGGGCAGAGCGCCATGCGGCTTAGTGCCTTTGGGATATTACTGGGTCTGTGAGTGGCGCTCTGCCTGCCTGGAAAGGGGCATTGCTGGGCGGCTGCTCGTGACAGCAGCTGCCGGGCAACCCCCCACTCCAGCTGGGCACAGCACCACCCACCAACCTAGCGGTATCCCGAAGGCGTCAAGCAATGTTAGCAGCTTTGCCCCCCCTCCCCTGGCTCCTGTACCTTTGTGCCTCTGGGATATCGCTAGGTTGGTGAGTGGTACTCTGCCTGGCTAGAGGGGGGGGGTTGTCCAGGGGGCTTATTATTGGGGGAGAGCGTATATTTTTGCCCACAGGAAAAATATGGCATGGCCTTATTGTCAGGACATGTCGTAATTTCAGGGAAACATGATATTTTGATGGGAAATACCACCAAGAAATACTAGGACTGTAAATTAAGCTGTGAAATTAAACAGACAAACATAGAGAATAGAAACTATGTCTGTATTTTGCCAAGAAAATTACTCCAATGATATCTCCAGGTGTCAAACCAGATTCCAAGGAGACTTAATTTTTCGGCAAAATTAATCAGTGAAGCTTCTGCTTGGAAAGATAGAGCACATTTCCAGGAAATGCTTTACTTCACTCTTGCTTACCCATGAGGCTTCCAGAGAAGCAGCTCTTTAATGGCAGAAAAGAATTGAGTAGTTTTCCTTTTCTTTGACAAATTATTATAATATTTTTGGGTAAAAAGATTAAAAAGAGTAGAAAAACATGAAGCAAGATTTGATACTATCAGGAACCTCATAAATTTATATGAAGAGAGAAAGCCATATAGTAATATAAGCCTCATTTCTAGGATGCTGACCATGATACAAGCAAAGTATGTACACTAGAACAGAACTATAATTCCTTCCTCTCAAGAAATACTGGAATATAATTGGACAGCAAGAACATAATAGTCCAACTGTCTTCTCCCGGTGATCCTCCATTTAAAAGTAATAGCACTTAGAATTATATACCACTTCAGAGTGTTTTACAACCCTCTCTAAGCAGTTTACAAAATCAGCATATTGCCCCCCAACAATCTGGGTCCTCATTTTACTGACCTTGGAATGGTGGAAAGCTGAGTCAACATTGAGCTGGTGAGAATCGAACTGCAAGACTGCTGACAGTTGGCAGAAGTAACCTGCAGTACTGCATTCTAACCACTGCACCACCACAGCTCATTTAAAGGTCTCTTCTTATGTCCCAGTTAACAGGAAGCAGATAGAATAAACCAGAAATTGACAATGCACAGGCTGAGGTCCCTTGACACACAGCATTGCAAAATCTTAAATTGAATTGTACTACAACATTACATAGAAATATAGTTGCCGTACGCTAAATGAAAATAAATTTAATTTAATTAATTTAATTTAATTTATTAGATTTATAGGCCGCCCAATCCCGGAGGACTCCGGGATTCTTGAATGAGATATCATAGATGAGACTGATGATATCATACAAGATCCTGGGTGTTTTTAATATTTTGTTTGTTTATTTCATTACGGGCACCAAACCAGTGGTGGGTTCCTATTAGTTTGGACCGGTTCAGCCAAACTGGTAGTGGTTTGGCGACCTGAGTTGCTGGAACTGGCAGCGACCCAGGCCTGCCATGCCCAAACTGGTTCTCCAGGGGGCGCCATAGGCACTACCACCTTGTTTATTGCTTCTGCGCATGTGCAGAGCAATTTTTATTGCACTGCGCATGTGTGTGCAAAGTGCGCGTGAGGCACGGCCACAAGTGAACTGGCAGTAGTGACTGCTGGAACCCATCCTTGCCCCAAACCATAATTGCTGGATAGTTCAACAATTACTGAAAAGAGTCATATTCTCAGCCAAACTGAAAAGACAATCTGCACCTTGTGAACATATCAAGGAGTGAAAGTATAAAGGCTGTCCATTCAGCTCAAGTTTCTGCCTTTTTCTGGTTTTGTTTAATATTCAGCCTGATTTGGTAATGTAAACATAATCTTGCAATGGTGCTGAATCCTTTGTGTTTTCTATTCTAAAGTGAATCTGGCAGAAAATGCCAACAGTGATTTCCAAGTGTCCCCAAACCATGAAGGTTGGCCTACAGGACCCTCCAGTCACCACAGCAACCTGCTCCCAGTGCCACACAATAGTGGTACTACTGCTCCAGGGCCCAGGTAAGCAAACATCTCTTCAGTGTATACGTCATCCTAGCAGCAATACCTCAGCAGTCCCAGCAGCCCTTCTTGTATACAACGAGGAAAAAAAATAGGTCAGATTTTACTATATGCCACTTTTCCTCCTTTAAAGACAAATAAAATAAAACAGTTATGTTAATTTCCTATATGACAAGAGATGACTTTAATTAGGAAGAACGATTACATTTTGCTGATATAAATATCAGGTGAATTGTATTTAAGTATTATTACAATTCAGGCCGCAGCCAAACCAATATTTAAGACTGGTTTGTCTCTGAGGGTGGAATTTAAAACTTGGTCTGAGCTCAAAAGCAAAACAGGCTCTGGTTAGTACTTGGATGGAAAACCACAAGAAAATAGAGGTGCTGTAGACTAGCCTTGGAAATTGGGGGAAAAATATTGTGGAAGATGATAGCAACATATTTTTATACTATTGCCAAGATGAAGTCCATGAAGTCACCAGGAGTTTGACTAGATTCAAAATACACTCTAATTGTTGCAAGAAGTGTTTTACTGCGAGGATTGATTTATCATACAGCTGTGCTGTAAATTGTAGCCCAATCAGACCATTTATTCTCAAATCCAACAAAGGGAGGGTTTGGTTTAAGTTCTTAGATAAGAAGAAATATGGATAAAACAAAATTAAGCAAGTTAAAGTTTTGAATGTTATATTCCTGTATATCAAGTGCAGACTATCATGTTAAAGGCTTCCTGTGGTTTCTAATTTTTT